TACTCTCCACCCATCTCATGCCTCATTCGCTGGGTTATTTGGCTTGTTTGGGTTTACACTTTCACATCAGCTTGATTCACCGCCTCCTGAATCACAGGTCTCGTTTCTGCACAGTCCGTAGCTGCTCATGTCGAGAAGCCCCTCCGAGGGATATGTGTGGAGGAGACTTCATCCACCTGCTCCCACCGAGCCACAGGCAGCCCTTCCCGCACAGATTAATCACTTCCCCGGCTCAGGTTGCAACACCACCCTCCAGTAGGGCCACCTGATTCTCAGTGTCCTTTCCACAAACACTTCTAAGAGATTCCAGCGTGTGCCCTCAACTGCTGGTATTCACAACACACTCATGATGTACGTCAGTGACACAAAATGTAAGGCCAGTCCCAACCTTTGAGCTCTCCATCACGCTCAGGATCTCTGCTGTCTCTTCTCTCTGTTCCCACACCAGCTACTGGGGGACTATTTGTGTCCCTCTCCCCAAAAAATTCATATAAAGAAACCTAACCCCCAAGGTGATGTTATTAGGAAGTTGATTAGGTCTTGAGGGTGGAGCCCCTATGAATGGGATTAGTCTCCTGATAAATCAGCCCAAGAAAGCTCCCTCGCGCCTTCCGCCACGTGAGGACAGGACAAGAAGTTGACAGTCCGCAACCAGGAAGAGGGTTCTCCCCAGACCCGGACCATGCCGGCATCTGATCTCAGACTTCCAGCCTCCAGAATTGTCAGCAGTAAGTTCCTGTTTCTAGGCACCCAGTGTGTGGTACTTTGTTAGAGCAGCTGAAACCCACTAAGACCCTAACTTACTTCTTCCACCATGAGTCCACACTCTTTCCGGCTCCTTCAAATCCTAGCTCTCTTCTCACCTTTTCCAGTAATTTTTCAAATGCTTAAAATAGTCATTTCTTGGCCAAATAGCAATGACCACCTTCGTTGCCTTCAAATTTACTTCCTCTTGAAACACTTATTCTGGATAATATGCCCGCCTTACTGCCCATCATTTATGCAAATACTTGGGAGCATTTATGAAGTCCTCATGAAGGACTGGGCAGCTCACCACAGCACGGCCAGGAGCTGGCACAGACAGGTCATGGATAAAAAATGAAGAGAAACACAAAGGAAAGGTAAGTGTTACTGTTTTGTTCAATACAGACACTTCAGTGCTGCAGACACATGCATATAGTGGACACAAGGTGAATCAGACCTCAAGCCGATACATCGTAACCCCTTTTCTGTCTATGGTTGTACCCATGGATGTACACTCTGGAGATAAAGTAAGATGGAAGGTTTGTAAGAATCTAACTTAGGAAAAGTTGAGTTTATCCCATTTATTTATGGGGCACCCATATATGCAATCCATTAATCAAGCATATAATGAGTGTCTATTATTTTAAGGCACTTTGCCGGTTGTTGGGAATACAGAAGGTGTGGAGTCCTTGCCCTTGAGGAACTTTCACTTTAATGGGAATACAGTTAACTAACAGGAGGCATCGACACAGAGTGACAAGCGCAGGTAAAGGGGCTGAGTGCCAGGTGCACAGGCATGTGAGGGTCTCCGAATCCAGGCAGGATCAAGTGTTCCTGGCAGCAGAAAAAGGCGTATACGCAAGGCCAGACGTGAGCACAAGGAGGGGGGACGAGCCTTGGGCCCAGTCTGGGCCAGGTACCGTGGGGACGCACACACTGACACACCCTACAGTCCTCCTGGGGGCACCCTGAGCTGAGACAGAGCTGCCCCAGGACAGGGCAGGCTCCCCAGTCACTGTCCTGAACAGCGTGGTTAACCAGGAGGTCAGAAACAGACCGCTCCCCAAAGAGGACATGGGGCCGGGAGGTGGAGAGGGGATCTGACCCAGCCACAGAAGGGATGGGCACGCGCCGTGGAAAGACTGCTGCCGGGACCGCGACCTGCACGGGGCTGGAAATGGGCAGAGAACAGGGCCCATTCCAGGCAAGAGGAGACCAAAAGACCAGAGAACAGCGAGGAGACTGATGCGCTTCAGAATCAGGGAACTCCCGTGTAATTAGAATAAGTCACACACACACACACACACACACCCCTCTTGAGAAACCTGACAAATAGGGCTAGACGGCATAGGGGAGCGAATCCTGAGCCAGCAGTAGAGAGACCGAGATCCTCCACTGTGAGGTTATCTTCCCCAGGCCTCTGGCAGGTGAGGTGGGCGCCAAGAGCACCGTCCAGATTAGGAGTTGGGAAATATACGTGGTGGTTCACAACTGGCATTCTTTTTCTTTTTTTTATATTATATGAAGTAAAGCAGAACATGTTCTGCTGTGTGCATTGCCCAGAGAAAAAAACAACGTTTTATGAAATGTTTGCTTCAGATATATAGACACAGACGCATATGTGAGCTTAATCAGGATGTAAGATGCTTCTTACTATGGGGTCACAATCAAAAAAGTTTGAGAAAGCACAGGACAAGAGGATTTGTAAGGTTTCTTCCAATTCTAAGATTCTCATTTAACCTTTAAATTCTAACCCATTTTACAGGCGTGTAAACCCATCTAGGTATGAGTTCTGGCATAAAATTAAATAAACCATGGGCAAAATTTAGACATACCATCAGATCATTCAAAATGGAATTGAATTGTTTATCCAAACCAGTGACCTTAAACTGTGACAAAAGTCTCCAGGAAACCACTATGCTCACACATGTTGTAACAGACACACCTGCACATTCAGGGCAGAGGGTTTCCCCCGTTCTGAAAGGTTTTAACAGACACCCACACCGAGGACCAGGCCTCCACAGAAATCTCAGGACAAAACCTGATACTCAAGGTAAGATTTTCAAAGTTTCATTACAAAAAGATCTAATGCCAACCCTTATTTTTCACACCTTTACCCACAGTAAATGCTAGCCATCTATTGCTTGTGTGACACACACTTCTGAAACCCTTTAGTGGGACAGGTAGCTTCTAACTACTTGTGTACTCTGACTCAACGTATTCACATGACACATTCTCACCCACCTAAACCCCTTTCGAAAAGCTATATAATGCAAATGAAGTCCTTCAGGAGAACAGGAATAAGCAACATATCTTATATCTTAAGTCCTAAGTCCTTCCTTGTTGGACAACTCGTTTTCCCAGAAAGGCAAGGAGTTAATTTATGAGCCTGTGTATTAACAGGAAAGGAGACGAAAATCATGAACGTGGGGGATCCGCATGAGCCGAGCAAACACATTTCAGAAAAAAATTATGTAAGTGTCCACAGCCATAATAGTGTCAATTACACTTATTCTGGGGGCCGTTTCACCTGAAGCGATGCGAGGTCATTACAGGCATGATCTCAGGTGTTTTCACCACCACTGCTATGAGGTGAGTCAGAAATACCAAAACTGGAGCACAAACAGGTGACGTGACTTGCCCAGACTTTTGTCTGAGTTGAGAAGAAAACTCAAGTTTCCTGTTTGCTTGTCTTCCCAGGTTTAGCCCAGAAACCATGCCCTCACAATTTGTGCCTTGCACGTTAAAGTCTGCCCCAATCCTTCTGTAAATGCTAATTCAAGGTCAAGAGAGTCCTCAAACCCCATAACCTAAGATTCGAACACATCCTGGGGTGTTGCTGAGGCCTCGCAGAAGGTGCCAGGCCAGCAGGCACCACTTAACCTCCCGGCCACACAGTGCCAGCTACTCTGCCCACCAGGAGGCCAACTTCGCACCGCGCGCCCGGCCAGCCGCCTCCACGGTGGCCAGGACACTGCCCCGCCGAGCACTTTACAACCAGAAAGTCCTTTAGAGGTCACCCCGTGTCGCCCCTGATTTTACAAGGAAAGAAACCGCTCTGGAGCCTCCTGCCGCCTTCCCCAAGGTCACTTCGGCCCGAAGACCTTCAGTCTCTGGCTGTCAGCTCGCACAGAGTAAACGCGAGCCGAGTTGTTTCTGCCCGTGCTGAAGCACCCCCACGCTGCCACGTGCGGAGACCACAGCCACAAAAGACCCAACCGGTGGACCGGGGACCCCAGGCATACCGAGGCAGGCAAACCCCCCGAGTCTGAGCTCTCCAGGAACCTGAGGGCCGGCAGGGGTTTTGGAGGGGGTGGGAGAAGGCCAGGGGAAAGCGAATCCTCAGCGGCTGGCCCATAGCCCCCGAGGAGGGACCCCTCTCCCCGCAGGCCCCGAGGGGACCCGGGGACCCCCGCCCCGCCCCCCGCAGCTGGAGGCCGGGCCTGGCGACCCCCGGCCAGCTCACCGGGTGCGCAGCGCCTGCCACGCGGCGTCGATGTCGGCGTAGAGGTTCTTCTCGGAGGGCCTGCCCGAGCTGACGCCGTAGCCCGAGTAGTCGTAGGAAAAGATGTTGCAGTTGATGCGCGAGCCGAGCCCGATGTAGAAGCTGCACATCTGGCCCAGGTCCACGGCGTTGCCGTGCGAGAAGAGCAGCGTGTAGCGGCTGGAGGGCGCGCAGCGCACGAACATGCAGCCCAGCCGGTTGTCCCGGGCGGTGCGCGAGAAGAAGACCTCGACGGCGTCCAGCTCGCGCTGCGAGTACTGCCAGTCGGCGCGCTCGCTCAGGTGCAGGCTGCACGCGCCGGGCCCCGCGCCCGGGCCCTCCTCGGGCTGCGGCGCCGCCGGCTGGGCCGCGGCGGCCGGGGCGGGGGCGGGCGCGCCGGGGCCGCGCTGCTCGGGAGCCAGCACCGTGTAGGTGGGCTCGGGCGGCAGGAAGGCCAGCTTGGCGGCAATGCGGCTCGGGCAGGGCGGGCAGCAGAAGAGCCAGCACAGCTCGCCCAGCGAGAAGCCGTTCATCCTGGGGCCTGGCTCCGGCATCGGGGCGGCCTGGGCCCGCCGCCGCCGGCCCGGCAGGCTGGCTGGCTCGGGAGCGAGGGCGCGCGGCGGGCGCGGGCGGGCGGGGCGCGCGGCGGGCGCCAGGGGCGGCGCGGAGGAGGCGGGGCCGGCGGCCGGGCGGGGCGGTCAGCGGCGGCCCCGAGGCCCGGGTGCGGCGCTGGGGGCCCGCGCGCGGCACACAAAGCCGGCGGCGGCGGCCATGCCCGGCTCCAGCGCCGCCCCCGCCCGCGCTGCTCCCGCACGCCCGCCGCCACTTCCGGGGACCGCGCGGCGCCCCCGGGACTCGGCGCGGGGCCGGCATCGGGGCGGGGCTCCCCGGGACACGGGGTGGGCCCCCACGGCTCCCGCCCTTCCATCCGCGCGCGGGGGCGCCGGCACCCTGGCTCGTCTCCGAAGCGCATCCGCGTTCCCGGGACGCACGGGGGCCCGGAGGAGCCGGCTTAGGGGTCCGCATAGGGGGCAGGTGCGCAGATATCCAGAGGGCCGCGAGCCCCCTCACCCGCCTGCGAAGCACGGCCTGGGTCCGGCAGGGGCCTGGAGGAGCGGGGCGCCCCGGCGGAGGGGGTGTGCATGGGGACGACGGTGGAGGTGGCGTGGGAGTCCTCCCGGATCGGACTATTCCGCCCTCGGAATTCCCTTCTCCAGATCCGAGTGTGGTCAGGCATGGAGGTTCTTGGGAATCTACTGAAAAGAAAATTAATGGGTGGAAGAGAGTTTGAATGAGCCTTTAACATTGGCTCTTGGTGTCTGTGCAGCTTTCTGAACTGCCCTTCCTGAAGTCTCAGTACCACAGGGGGTACTTGTCTTGTGGGGTAGACGGTCCGGTCCTCGCTGTATTTCCCTGTCACCTGAGGCTGCTTCTGCATGTGTAGCAACAGTGTTACCTTCCCAGGGGCGTCCTTGGGCCTTTGGTACATCCATGTATCTGTACCCACCGGCTGTTGTCACAGGGCTGCGCTGTCTTGAGCTATGTACCACGACTCAGTTATCATCTCCAGTCCCACGTGCAGACTTTCTACTAGTAACTAGGTGACCTTTACATTGCTGTTTTCTCTAGACTTGCTTTGGGTCCGGGTTTCTTAAGTGGTCTGTACCATGAGAGATCCCTTAGAATGGTTTAAATCTGCTGTAATCTTGTCATTCACCTTTAAGTGACTTTTTTTTTTCAAATGTTACTCTCAGTGCCTTGAGACAGTGCGCTGGTGCCAACTTCACAGAGTCTTCTGTCCTACTTCCTGTTTCCCTCCTGATTTGGCAGCCGGATTCCCTTTCAGGAATTGAGGGAGATACCCTTCCTGGATGGCCCACAGGGCAGGCTGGATGGAGACAAGAGGTTGGCAACATCAGCATCCGGACCTGCTATTTTAACCCGCAGATGTCCTGAGAAGAACTTTACCTTTTGTTGTGGTTTGTGTTCCAGATGGCCTGGAGGCAGCGTTAACTGTTGTTAGGAAAAGTTAAAAGTCAGATATTTGTTTATTTATACCCTGCCTCATCCGACAAAGAATTTGTGGAGTGTCACGTGGTATAATACTAATAAATTAATAAAAACCTGGTTTTTATTTTCATCCTCTTAGAAGGCTACACAGAGTTGGGCTGAGAGGGCAGGTGCTCCCCCGGAAGATGTGTTGGTTCAGGTTGATGAGAATGTTAAATTGAGGCTACAGTTGTGTGCACAGAGCAAAGCCACCAAACCTGCCCGCCTCGTGCCACATGCCATCACCGTCAAGTTGGTGTGGCCCCCTGAGATGAGAAGATGTGCTGCCCAGGGCTCAGCCCCGAGGCCTAAGGGGTTCAAGATCTCAGGACACCTCTAACATATCCACGACGAGGCCGTCAGTGTGCCTTGGCGTGTCGTTTGGGAAACTTCAACATGCGGCACAGAAGGAATAAATTTGCCCTGTAAAATGCAAAGGTCAGGGATTGCTGGCGGTTCATTTTGACCTTAAGGAATTTCTAGGAGGCTCCTCACATTCTAGTAGAGAAAGGCCTGACTTGGAGTTTGGGTCAGCACACGTGTTTACTAGGTGCTTACGGGAGTCAGTCTCTGAGCTGATCTGGGGAGTGCAGACGGTAGCTGAGACACGGCCCCTCCTGCCTTCGACAAGCTCCTGCAAGGTCTGCAACTCGGAATAGCTCTGCGTCCTGCTAGGCCAGCAAGGACTGCTAAACTGAACAATATTCCGAGGAGCTTAATGCGCTGGTGTCTGTTATTCAATGTTGGCCCTTTTACACGTGGAACTTTTCTTCCGGGTGAGTTTGCCTGATGTTGAGTTGCTCAAGATCACCTCAACTGGGAAGAGTAAAGCAGTCTCAGCCGTGTAGAGAAGGATTTCTTTTTTCCTGACCATAAAAGAAGAATGTGCCTGGTTAGAAACGGAATCTGGTTGTTTAGATGGAAGGTGAAAGAGAAATCTAAGTTAGATTGTCCTGTTTTTCTTTTCTTTCTTTTTTTGCAGTTTAGGACTGGATGCTCTGTGAAGGTGAGGATTGTGTCTATTTTGGTTACCACTGCTTCTCCCATGCTTGGCACTAATTAAGTATTAATTAAATGGGTGAATTAAAGAATGAATCAGTGACTTGGTGAGTGCATCAAGAGACAAGCCTGTTCCTTCAGATTTGGGCGGTATTATTGGAGCACGGGCTTAGAGGAAGATGCGCAGCGGTCCAAAGTGAACGCCACCATCGCACTGCGTGAGTGTGCAGTACGTGTTCCCCGGCCGAGAAGCGGGGCATCCTCCCCATCTTTCTTACTAACAGACCTCTGGTGACAGTGTTCCCAGTTAAGGTGCACGGCCACCTCGCCTCCCCTGCTGTGAGGATGGTCACATGGCAGTTCTGGCCACTGGTCTCTATGTGGGGAACTTTGGGGAGCTTCTGGAAAGACTTACCAGAGCCGGACTCATCTGTAATGTTTCTCTTCGCCGTTTCCCTTCGTTCCCACTCGGTTGGCAGCATTGTTATTAGAGCTACGGCAGCCACGTTGCAGCCATGAGGGTGAATTTCATAGCTGAAGATGCTGGAGAAGAAAGACAGGAGTCTAGATCCTTCCTGGCGTTGCTGAGTAGCTGCCCAGCTGTGCCTCTGTTTAGGCTTCTTGTTATGTGAGAAAAATAAGTCACTTGATTTTATCTCATTGCAGTTGGGTACTTTGTTACCTGATGCAATGACTAGGACTCTGATTCAGGAATCAAAAGCAAAAGGTATGTTGTCTTTAACTGCCTTCTCAATAAGGACAAAGAATGTTTTGTTGATCAACAGTAGAACAGTTAGACCTAAATCCTTCTTGTTCCCCCTAAAAAAATATTAAAGTGTGGCTAAAGATGGGATAGATTTTTGAGGAGATATCCATTAAACAAACGTATCCGAGGGCTGGCTGGTTGGCATAGTGGTTAAGTTCACATGCTCCGCTTTGACGGTCCAGAGTTCGCCGATTCAGATCCCGGGTATGGACCTACACACCACTCATCAAGCCATGCTGTGGTGGCATCCCACATGTAAAATAGAGGCAGATGGGCACAGATGTTAGCTCAGGGCCAATCTTCCTCCCCCCCCCCCAAAAAAAAAACTCACCATATCTGAAATGTGAAGAAAATAAGAGCTTATAATTTTGAAAATAGTATAAGTGACACTTTGAGTCTATTCCAGGGGATCTATGCTGATGTTAATTAGGGTAAAGGGCCTGCCATTCAACTAAAAGCTTTTGGAGGCAAAATATCTTTCCCTAGAACCTTTTTCAGCCTGAGGGCTCTTATCAAAAGTGTTGTTAATGAGGTCACTGGAGCTCTGCTTGGGAGATCTGAGAGAGCCACAAAATGCTGAGAAAGCACTGCAGAGATAAGGACTGAAAGAAATAAAACACACCCACCAAGATAGGCTTTCCCAGTTCCCTTCCTTGCAGAAATGATCACGTCCTCAAACCTGCATTTCTTACTAGTCTCAACCTATCACCCATTTGTGGATTCTTGACGGGAGGCCCAGAGGCCCTGAGGTTGATCCCTGAATTTGGACTCAGTGAGCTACTTGAAGTGGGAACCGTGTCCATCTTGATTTTCCTGTATAATCAGAACCAAACGTTATGTCTTAGCACATTGTAGGGGACTGGAATTGGCCACCCCAAGATATGTCTCTTTGGCATGAGGATTATTTTGGGCTGGTTACTTTTTAAAAACTGCAGACAGGGGGCCAGCCCAGTGGTGCAACAGATAAGTTTGCACGTTCTGCTTCAGTGGCCCAGGGTCCACTGGTTCAGATCCAGGTTGTGGACATGGCACCGCTTGGCAAGCCATACTATGGTAGGCGCCCCACATATAAAATAGAGGAAGATGGGCACAGATGTTAGCTCAGGGCCAATCTTCCTCAGCAAAAAGAGGGGGATTGGCATCAGATGTTAGCTCAGGGCTGATCTTCCTCAAAAAACACAAAACTGCAGACAGGAAAGAAACTCTGAAAAGTAGAATTTACTTACCCTTTGTTAAGAGACATTTACATTGTAAAGGAAATCTCCATCTGTAAAGGTGTCTCCCTCTCTGTACCAGGAAGAAGGAGGGATGACCTTATCTCTAGAAACTCTTATCAATGCGGAAGGCAAGGAATTAAATCTGCATAGTAACCTGACTCTCCTTTACTGTGCTTTTCTGGTAACCTCCCATAACCGACTTCCCACACCCCAACAACCTCCTTTGTCTTTACCCGAGGATGGTATTTAAGGTGGTGGCTTCAGCCATTTTGGCGAGTTGCTCAGCTTGCCTGAGCCTCTCCCATGTATACATGTTATAAAGCTTTGTTTAATTTTCTCCTGTTATTCTGTCTCATGTGAATTTAATTCGTTCTCCAGCCAGAAGGACCCAGAGCAGGTAGAGGCAATGTCTTCCTCCCCTACAACATAATAGGAACTCAAAACATATTTGTCAATGGATTGGAATTCGATTTCTGATGTTTTCTAAAAGCTTTTTTTAAGTGTGCAGAGAGATAATAGAGTAGGTTAAATAAGTAACTTTTTAAAGTGGAAAATGGGAAGGACCAGCCTTGTATACACTGAGCTTGCAAATCTAATTTTAAGATGATAATGAACAATATCCTGGCATCAGTTTTAATTTTTTTTGTCAGAATTTTGGATAGTTGCACATTAAAACAGGGTACATGAGTGATTAATCTGTAGTGTTATTTCAGGGAATTTACAATAATGAATATTAAATGTGTATTCTAAAAAACAGTAATACCAGCGTAACACCAGACAGACCCAGCTATGTATAGGTATTTCATATATGATAAGGTTGATATGTCAAATCAGTGGAGATGTATCATCTTATAATTGGTTAATTATAAGTTAATTGTAATAATTGTTTAAATATTTGGGTTGAAGATAGTAATCTCTCTACTTTTGTATATGTTTGAAATTTTCCATAATAAAAAATCCCCATTTTTTAATTTTCAGGATTTTGAAAAACAAACTAGGCCAAAATATTTGCTATAAATCCATTAAAAAAAAAAAAAGACAAAACACCACAGTGGGGAAAATGGGCACATGGCACAAGTGTTTTATAAAAAGGAGTACAAATGGCCAATAAGGATATGAAAAAAAGGCTTAGACTCATTTGTTGTAAAAAAGCAAATTTTAAAAACATGTTTAACCTTCTTGTATTGACCCAAATTTAAAAAAAAAAAAAAAAGGAATAAAGAACACTAGTCCTTTGTTGGACATGATGTGGAAAGGTAAACACTCTCACACACAACTTTCTGGCTGGAGTGTTAATTGGTATAACTTTCTGGAAGGAAACTTGACAGTGTGTATCAAAAGGTTTAAACACATACCAAACTTGTAACCAAGTGATTCAGGTTGGAATTTCGCCTAAGGAAGTAATTCATTCTGCACGTGGATTTTAAATACCAGGATGTTTATGACAGCATAGTTTAAATAAGAAAAAAAATTGAGAACATCAGAGTCTAAAGTCTAAAGCAATAGTACATTCAGACAATAGACCAATACGTGCCATTAAAACTGAAATGGAAGAACCGTGTTTGTTATTATAGGAAAATGTCCACAATACATTGAGTAAAAACAGAACACAAAATATGAACAATATGTAAATATCCTTTAAAAGTTTAAGCCCAGGAAAAACTTCTACCCCTGGCTGATAAGATTATGGGGCTTTTGTTTTGCTTTGGTTGGTTGTTTATTTCTGGTGTATGTGTATATTCTTTATGTTCTGGGCATGTATTATTTTATAATTAAAAGGGAATAATAAAAGATCATTTTAAGCCAAACAGAAAAAAAAGGAGGAAAAAAAGTCCTTTAGAATAATGAAGATGTTCTTCTAGCTATTTTAGGGTACTTCAAAAATCAACATCCCAAAGATAAGTAATTTTCTATTCACATGAGAACAAAACAATGTTATTACAGTTGAGTTAAGCAGGGCTTTACCAAAACATACTGTGTCCCAGAAATGTGGTGGTTTCTGCAGGAAATACGAAGATGACAAGATAACCCGCACCCCACCCACAAGGACCTTTTCTTCAGCTTCCTCTTTTGGAGTCCGTATGATCTGGTCACAT